CATTCACTGAGCCCACTCAGAGCTCCATACCCATAAGATATGGTCTCTCCCTCTCCCAGAGCCCTCATTTCTGGCAACTGATGTACATAATGATTTTAAATGATTATTTTATTTCTTCCATCTGATTGTTTATATATATTTTTAGTTTTACATATTGACATGTCTTGAACATTCCACAAGTTTTGTAATTATTATGATAACTGTATGTCTATAAATGCAGTTTTGCAGTAGCTCACCATAAGCATGATATTGGTTTATACTTTCAAAGTTTTACTTTAAAATTATTTCTGGGCTGCAGAGATTGCTCAGTGGTTAGTAACACTGGCTGCTCTCACTGAGGACACAGGTTTGGTTCCCAGAACCCACGTGGCAGCTAACAACCATTCTAACTCCAGTTCCATGGAATCTAACACCCTCTTATGATCCCTGTGGGCATTGCATAACACAGGTGCACTCATATACATGGAAGCAATACATTCATACACATAAAGTAAAATAATAAATAAAATATTAGAATGGAGAACAGGAAGGGGTAATAAAAATAATGACAGTATGCATACACATCATATAGTTCTTATAGGTCTTTCAAATGCTTTCTCAAGGTATAACACATTTTAAACACAGAATCAGTTCTTAACTGGGAAGTGTTCACATGTGACTCCACTCGGGACTGTTACCTTACTGGGAGATATGGATTGTAAATATGTTTTGTTGTTTGAATATTCTTAAAGGTGAAATTACTTGCAAGTACTATTAAACTTAGTGTGTTTTATTCATTAAACAGCAATTTTAGTAATTCAAACAATAGAGTGTGAGATGGTAGTTAGAATTATGTTTATGTATTGATTTTCCCTGAATTTCAAAGAGTAATGTTCCATGAATTATAAAATACTGAAAAACATGCTTTTCTTCACTGTATAACTCTAAAATGTATCATTGCTGCTGAATAAACATACTTTAAAATAAATGAATAAAACAAAATAATTGCTTAATTAATTAATTAATTAATTAGAGACAGCATCTCATCATAGCCCCATTTGGCCTGGAATTCACCATGTGGTCCCACCTGGCCTTAATATCACAGAGATCCACCTACCTCTGCTTCCAGAGTGCTGGGATTAAAGCCACACACCACAGTCCCCTGCTGCTTTATGGGTTTCAACTTAGTCTTTAAACTGACGTAATGAGAATGTCAAAAGAAATATG